ATATATATATATATGCATGTATATACACAACAGTGAAGTCGATGGGACAGAGAGATGGAAGCAGTTCAGTAAAGTATAAAAAACTGTTTTTTTTCATTCCACTCCACACTTGAGGAACTCGTATTCGAAAGTAATTTGTTTCTCTTTCTCCCTTTGAATTTTCCCGCTTCATCCAAAAATATTCAGAGCAACGATTATCATTCCCTCCCCTCCTCTTCCCTCTCCCACTCTCGTTTCTTCCCCCTTTTTCCCCTCGCGCAGTGCATCACGCCAAGAAGGCTGCCAAAATGACAAAAGATTAGTCCCTCTGCTCTTACTGTTTTTTAAATTTTCAAAAACAAATCTGGTTTCTACGGTTGCCAACTTTCTGCCTGTTCTAATTATGTTTAAAACAAACTTCTGTTTTTTACTGGACCCCTAATTTGGCTAGAGTCAGAACAAAATGCAGATGTAATGCATGTGATATTGAGAGTAAGTACTACTTAACAAAATACGGCGTCCACCGGTTGTCAAAAAAGTGACCAACATGTTCTGCCTATCAGACTTTAATTCCTTTCATGGTGATGTTCTGCATGCCACTCATTTGGTGTCGATACATCAGAAATCTGACGTAGTTTACGACGAAACACATCAAACATCCCTTTGCGCAATTGCTCTCTACCTCTTAGCCAGTGCTCCATCTTTACTTTTGTCAGTGAACAAATTTCGCATTCATATGTCACTGATTTTGAAGAGATGAGCACCGTTCTTGCTTAACATTTTGAAAACGTTTTTGCTGTGAAATCTGCACCAGAAGGCTCCGGCAGAAGATTGTGGGTAAAAGTACTTACATACCCATGCCTTAACTTGCCGTAAATTTGTTCAAATATTTTACTACATCTTAATTTTATTAGCGAAGATGTCCGAAATCCCAGGTGTCGCATGATAATTCTCAATAAACCTATTTCAAGTAATTTAACTAACAGTATTTGAGGTTTACTGGTTTTGTCAAGCAGACAGCCAGTCCCATCACGATTCATTAATTCATTCCGGTAGTAAATTGGTTCTGGAGATGCCAAGGATTCACAACTGCATCTTCGGATGAAGAAACGATCGACAACTCTGCTAGCGCGTAACTGGTACTGGAAGTGGTAACGCTCAGACCACCTGCGAAGGTTTCAGCTTTCAGAAAAGGACGAAAACGAGGGGATTTCAATACTGACTTGGGGAAAATAGCCTATTTTCTTATGCGTTTTCGTATAAAGTAAGAAAGTATCATGCCTAAATATGTAAATCTAACTCAGACCTATTGTTATCGGTCCGCGTATTTCCGTTTCAAAACTTTTTAAATTATGAAGTTGAAATTTTGAAAAAGTTGGATTGAAAGCACTTCGCACGGTTATTGTTGCTGTGATCTGACAACGGGACACATGAGCGGAAGATGCTAAGTAAATAAATAAAGTGTGCTCTCACAAAACATGTATATAAGTATAAAAAAGAACTCGAAAATTGGTTGGACAGCATGCAAGCAAAAAGCGATCGCGCTGCTGATTAAAAATTTCTCCACTCGCATACATAAAAGTTCGAGAAAAAAACAGCTTTTCGTATTGAATTTCACTGTTCACTTGCCGAAACACCAACAGCCAGATTGAGGGAATGCCTTCGATCAACAGCTCGAGCCGTTGCATGTGCGGAATTTCTAAGCCTTTCATCACTTTTCGTATTGAAATCCGGTATCCGACTCATATTTGCGAAATCGCCAATCATGTTCATCAGAGCGCCTCCGAATTTTGCACTCATTGTTACTGAAATGAATTATTTTGGGGAAATAGCTTTGAGCCATCCAGCATAGACACAGAAGTGCACAGAAAGAGACACCTCTGCTAAGCCGACTAGCAAGAGCTCCAGAATGTTAAGCCGGCAGATCACTGCATGGGTTTAACCATAATTAAAATATTACTGAACAATGCTGGGAGAAATAAACCGAATTTTCCGTTCACGCGACATCACACTGGGGCAGGGTGCTGTGGCGCTGATAAAAAAATTATCAAAAAAGTAGCGCAGTGCCATCACTGCGCGGTGAACTTCCATGGGCGATCATGGGCTTGGGAGGGAACGAGTACGAGCAGTACCGGCAACTCGTTCCTACCACTGAACGAAATACTCGCTGGTAATTTTTTAAACACCACACTTCGCCGACCTTCACTGCTAGTGCACTTTCCATTCCCCTTCTCGGTCAACATTCACATCCGCATGAAAACGGCCCCAAGCAGGCGGCAGCGCAGTTCGCGCAATACACAAGAACCGGTAGCGGCGCACACCAGACATCGTTGGGGTCATGCGTTTCTGCTGCGCAATGCTATAGCAGCGCTATAGCGTTGCTACAGCCAACAAAGACGCATATTGTCGAGAGGCTGTATGGGTGTGTTCAGAAGCAAGTGCATTTTGTCACCCACTTTCATCTCAGCAACCAGGAAAGCTGAGAGGC